TCCTGCTGACTCTCAAGGACACGCGTTCCCATGAACTCTAGAGCAGCTGATCCTTGGTGCATGTAAATCAGGTGGAGCTATTTTGCCGATGTTGCAGGAGTTTTTGCCAGAAGCCCTGGCTCTGCTTGGTTTATGCATGACTTTGGGAAAGTTGCCACTTCTCCCTGAGCAGCAGCACCAGTGAATTAATGCTGTGCCTTTTCTGCCTGTCTCCGGACTGAGTTTTCAGCTCTGTACAAGTGAAATGCTTTTGCGGTCCCCCTGGCTCCCAGAGCTGTGCCTTGCAGCATCTCCGGTTCTCCTGCACAGCGAGGAAGGGTAGATCTGGGGACGCCTCTGTTCCCTCTAATCCTGGGGAGAGGCAGGCAGCACTGGAAGATGGGCATCCTCTGGGCTCCTCAGGTCACGGAGGGAATCTCTCAGCTCGGCGTGGGTGGATTTATTTAGCCCAGCTGCCATGACACAGGGGCAGACGTTCTGGAAAAAAGAGCCACTGCGGGCTTGCCTCCCGCTTCCCGTTGAGGGGCACCTCGCTGGCTGTGAGACCACAGGGGTTTTATCTCTGCCAGGGTATTTCCTCTTGCTCCAGGCCACATCCTCTGCTGTAGTGCAGAGCATGCAGCAGGAATCGACATCTATACGTGCACACTGCTCCCATTCGCCATCCTGGCTTGCTGCTTCGCCGTGTACCAGGTTTGCTGGCTGCCAGAGCACAAAAACGAGGCTAGATCCACTCTCTACCAAGTAGGAGCATGACAGCATAACAATCCCCTCTGCTTTGTGCCAGGGACTCCTTTGACACCAGCAGTGTTGTCTGACGGTGTGACCAAGGAGAGTGCAGGACCTGCTGTATTTTCAACCTTTGCAGCTGGACTAGCTATAATCCAGCATTTAGAAGCCAGAAGTCTTTTGCTAAAGCTAGCAACAGTCTTACAGAGCTTTTAAGTTGGCCGCAAGTACGCAGGGACGCAGGGAAGGCTCAGGTGCCTTAAGGAAGCCTGCAAACTCCTGCAGCACCGACCATCTGCATATTTTGGTGGTCCTCTAAGGGCTTTGCCATTGTGTGATGAGCAAACAAGGCTGTTTGCTAAGACTACAGCAGTTTATTTCTTAGGTTACTTGAGTATTTCACGGTTTATCTCTTTTTGAAATTCCTAATGCCACATCCTGACGCAGGCCTGGTGATGCTACTGGGTTCCTCGTAAGAGGATTGGATTCTGCAGGTACCTAAACTGATGTTATCTCTTTATACCCAGGGGAGGTGTTTCTGCAAATCAGCTCTGGATCTGCTGATGGACAAAGCAATGATAGCCTTTTGGGACAAAAAATCCCATTTATTCTCGTACCACTAACACAAAGCCTTTTGCTGGGAAAGAAGCTGGTTTAGGAGGCCGAATCTGTGACAGCAGATTTTTTATAAGGAGCTACAAGCAACGCCTCTGAGCATCTCTGCTTCTGATTTCACAAGTTTCACAGGCATGACGTGGCAGTTGAGTGATTTCAGCTTTCCCCACTTTTGATATCCCGGCCCAAGAGGAGCAACTAAAATAGCTGTGGGCTGGAGGACGGGGTTTACAGGGAGAGATTCAAAGTAAAGGCCTGGAGAGTGAGTAAGAAGCAACTATCTAGGAGAGCAGCACTGTTAGAGAGGATTGCAGGGTACAAGCCCTTGCACTCGCTTGTTTTATCGTTTACCAACTGGACTTGTTTTTTGCCTCCCATGAAATCTGCTTTTCTGTTGTGCTGAGCATGTGACCTTTCCATTTGCTGTCAGTAACACAGGGATACTGTTCCCTGGCAGCCACGTGCCGTCCCAAAGCCTCTGCCGTCTGCCTCTGATAAACCACACCGGTTGCAGGCAATTCCCTTCCAGCTTTGCCAGCCAGCTCTGCGCCCAGTCCCTGTTCTGCAAGTGGTGTTTGCGATGACGGGAACAAGCTGCTCCCTGCTACTTTTAAGCAGGTGTCGTTGCTGCGAGAAAAAATCCTGTCCTCGGTTGATCCACACACAGGCCCAGCCTGCTGCAAGGTTTACTGCTCAGAAATAATGAACTTCAACTGAAGGAAAAGCCCTGGAAAAGCCTTCGGGATGTGGGAGCTGACAAGCGTACGCGTCTCCGAAGATGGCAAACTTACTGGTGCTGGATTGCACTCAGTCGGGCGAATGTTTCAAAGCTCTGGACACCTGCGTTTCTAGCTGTGATGCATCTTTGCTCTGTGTTTCAGCTTCACCTATTTCAGTCTCCCGTCTCTGCGCGTCATGAAGACACTGTGTTTCCCCCCAGGCTGCTGCAGTGCCAGTGGTGGTGCCCTCAATGCGCTGAGCCTGCTGATGTCTTTCATGCTCCATAAAAAGCAGGAAAGCTGCGAGACATGGGTAAAGCATGCTGAATCCAGGATGGGAAGTTGAAGGCTGAGGCCAGGCCTGGATTGGAAGCTTGCTGAAAGAAAGGTTGAGTTGGATCATGTGCACAACCCCCCAAAACATCCTGCAGAGCCAACGTTTTGCTATGTTATATGGGTGTTTTTATGAGCGGTAAATAGAGGCTGATTGGGCTGGGAGTAGCAAGGTAAGGGAGTTCCCTGGGAATCTGTGACAATTATTAGGAGGCAAGAAAACAGGTTAGTTCCTGATTTGTTACCTGAAACGCAAGACCTGAATTAGCTGTGAAACAAAGGCAGTTTCTAAACAAGCTGTTCTGCAGTAGGACATGCCTCCTCCTGTTTCTGTGCCGAGAGTGGCAATAACATCCCTGCCTTGAAATTCAGACCACTTTTTTGGGAGATGTTCCCAGCGCAGGAGTGTGGCCTCCCCGTTACCCATTTACCATTCAGTGTCTGTGCTCTCCTGAGCGGGTATGAGAGCGCATGAAGGGAAGGTGGGTTGTGTCTGTCCATATTTGTTTATCCATCTCCTTACATGTCTGTCCATGCTGTCCCCTGCTGTTCCTCACCCTGAGCTTTGCCTCTTCCCTTGGGGCTGAGCTGCCATCGCTTGCCTGGGACAAGATGAATCATCTACCTTTATTTTTTGGCGCTTCCTGGGATCTCCGGGCTTGCTCCTAAGGGTTATCTGCTGTGGATGGAGGCCCGATCTGGGTGTCAAGACCCAGAGCTGGCTTCTTAATTAGCGTTTTTTAATTGCATTGTTAGCTTTGCAAGCTGCACGCACAGGAAGCCATGTGGTTCGCTCCTGCTGCAGAGGGTTGATCTAGCTGCGCAGTCCAGTAGATAATGTGTAACAACCCTTGCCCCCTCGTGTAGCTCAGTGGAAGAGCAGGTGCTGGGAGCAGGCTTGGGAAGGCTTTTGAGTCTTGCAGAGGGTTTGAATCTCCAGCTGCTGGATGGCTCTTGAAATACTGCCCTCAAAGAAAGCCACCTACTTGGTAAATCAGAGAAGCTGTCATTCCAGCTGGTTGGGAAGACAGTGAGAGGATGGGAATTGCGGCAGAAAGAAGGTTGCTGCAATTTCTGGGGTTTTTTTTGGATGTCTGCTTGCCACTCTGAAGCACTGTTTTTGTTTTGCGTTCCTGCGACCTGGGGAAAAACCCCTCGACAGTCCAAGTGGCGTGGATGGGAAAGTGGGTTTTGCAGCATCTCTCCTTTCCTGTGCGGAGAGCGTTGTGGATAGAGGCAGGAGCTGACCTGGAGGAATGCAAGGGGTGCCCGATGGGCATGTTTGTTTTTCTTTTGCAGAGTGTTTGTCTTGCCAGGGAAATACCAAGCGGAACAAGAGAAATGAACTTGGCATTGGAAACCCGCTAGTAAAATGTCTGCAAGCCAGATTTACTGAAGGGAGATGGAGACTCAGTTGGATTGTGGCCAGCCATGAATAGCGCATATAGGTCTGGAGCCCGTATTTCAATGAGGTTGTAGAAATACTGGAGAGATTTCAAACGAACACCACAAGAATGATCGGGGTTGGAAAATGAGCTTTCCAGCATGACTGCCACAGCTCAGCTTACTCAGTTTATTCAAGAGAGCCGTGTTGAACCCCACACAGGAGTCGCCTGCAAAAAGAAAAGGCTATTTTCATCTAAATGCCGAAAATCTCAGCAAATGCAGACTCAAGCAAGGTTCATTCCGTCTTGCTAATGACATTTTCAAGAGGATAGTCAAGCGCCAGAGCAATTTCCCAGCCTCAGCATCACGTGGAGTTTGTGAGGCATGAGCGGGTGTCCTTCCAGCAGCCATTCCTGGAAGTGCCTTGTCTCAGCTCCCGCACGGTGGTCAGGGTTGAATGTAGTGCCTGGATAATTCTCACGCCTGCAGTCCTACGTCTGGAAGAGCAGGTCTCTTCCAGGGCTCATGAAGGACCTGGATTTCTCCTTGAAGCCCAGCTGGTTGGGACATACCTTCCGCTTAGTATTCAAGGAGGTAACAGTGTCTTTAAGAAACTTCTATTTGAAATAGCCACATGATGCATCAGAACTGGTCCTCAGCCTGACAAACGTGACAAATCCCTGCCTTTGTCTGGATAATCGGTGGAAGAAGCGGGGACAGAGAGGGCAGGGTCTCACCGATTGCTTTTTGGCATCTCTTTTGCAGTAGGAGAGCTCTGCAAATGGGCTGGGAGAGCTTTGTACTCCTTGAGAACTGATGCAATTAGCAGGCTAAAAAATTGTGCAAGGAATTATCCCTTCTTGTGCAGGGCCAGCATGGGTGTGGTGTATTACTGCAAAAAACCACGCTGGGTCTGCAATCAACTTTTGATTGATAAATAGCAGTTAAATCCCACCTTCTCTGCAGTGGGGTGATATGCATTGTTAGGAGCGCAAACTGTCCTGTTCTCGTTCATTCAAACAAGCTATCTGTTCCCTTTGGGCAAACACCCTTCTACTACACCACTGTGTTCTCAAGTGTGTATTTAACTTGCCAACGCTGAGTATTTGGGCTTAGGAGGAGTTTTAGCAACTAGTTTGGCAAAGTGGGTTTTTTCCCCATGCTGCTGCCACACTGGCGGTCAGGCCCCCTTCAGAACTGACAGGCTGAAGGGTGGTCTCAACTTGAGAAATACGCGTTTGGTGAATCGCGGGGATGCCTTCGGGATGCCGACAGCACTTATTTTGGCCACTGGTATGTCTATAAATAGCCGCCGGGTCAACACTGAAACAAGCTGGCGTTCACAGGGCACTGTGCCCTACGCGAGTTTTCCTTCCAAACCAGACTTTGACCACTCATTTTGGCGTCCACCTGGTTTTGGAGCACAAATGAGACAAGGGGAATTGACCAGAAATGAGTGTTCCTGGAGCAATGCTGCATTTAGTTAACGCTTTCTAACCTTTTTGCTTGCTTCCCTCCTCGTTTGTCTGGCTCCAGCCCTGCTCACTGCCCAGGTATTTTAGGGAGCTGCTTGGTGGATGCTTCACACCTGAAGAGCTGTCAAAAGTTTGATCCCCACTTCCCAAAGAGGTTGTGTCTGCCATGCAGTGATTAGGGAGAGGTTAGTTTCATAGTGCTCATTTGCGCTTCATAGCTATTTATGGGCGTAAACATTACAAAGAAATGCACAGTAATTTTGAGGTCATGGGTATTACGTGTCATGCACGGATCCAAGCACGCTGTTGCTCTCCGGCGCTAACAAGTAGGCAGATTACCAGTGCAGCGTTGTTCAACGCAGGCACTTTGTGCTGTAGTAGTTAACTCACCGTTGGTACAAAGTTGATGACACTTTTCTCTTTATTTTTCATTTGGTGAGTAAGTTTAAGCAGACTGGCTGCCAGGGCATCTCTACATATATCTCTAGAAGAGATAGAGCTAGAAGAGCTGCAGTATCACAGATAAGATGTCTGTTTTGTTCTTTCTTTTTTGGTTTGCTCTGTACTTTATCATACCTTTCCTCCACGTGTGTTTTCACCCATCTTCCCAAGCCTAAAACTCCTCCCTGTCAACTTTTGCAAGCCGCAGCCTTTCACCACCTTCATGGCTCTCAGCCCTGCGCCAGGGGGACAGCTCCACCCAGGAGATCCTGAGGGCATCGCAGAAGCGTGGGCTTGCTGGGTCTCGTTTCCTCCCTGAAACATGGTGGCTCAGCAGGAATTCATTCGCCTGGGCTCTCGGAACATCCCAGCTCACGCTAACCCTGCCTGGGCATGCTGCGTGGCCGGGAGCTAGGCTGAAGATGCACCAAAATGAAGGGCTAGGGACACGATCAGGGACAAGGGTGAGGACTGGGAGACGAGGGGGTCTATGCTAAAAGGGCAAGGGGTTGGAGCAAGGTGAACCAGCCGCATTATAGCCTGTGTTTGTGGGTTTTTATCCCTTCCTGCCATTCTCTTGCAGGGACTGGTTGTACTCTGGCGGGCTCAGGGCTGTAGGCTGTTGACCGTGTTTTCTTTGGATGATGCTGCCAATGGCACCGTCTCTTGACGTACCCAGGTGCGTGGTGGCACTGCTCTGTGTGGGTAGGAGACACCTTCTGGCGTGCTTCCCTGTGACCAATGTGAGAAACAGCTCGTAAACTGCAGTGATTCAGAGCGGCCGAGCCCGCCATGGGAGGAACTACTGAGCGCGCCTTCCCCACTTGCAGGGCCCCATGTGCCTGGGGCCAGCCTCACCCCGTGACTGTGTGCCCATTGGCAAAGCAGAGTCACGCAAGCTCGTTGTCTGGCTCCCAACATCTCGGAGGGTGGACTCGGGCCATTTGTGGGAGGTTCTTCGCTATGGGTCTGGGTTTCCCAGTGAACAAAAGGCAGCTTTCCCAGGAAAGGGGTTCAATAAGGGGTTACCAGTTTGTGCCTGGCCTCTGACTCCTCAAAAAGACAAGGCAAGGTTACCTTTCCCTGTAGTCTAAGTAGAGCATGTAATTATACGGATAGGTGTTCGTTTTGTCAATATGAGGACATCTGCGTGCCCTGCTCTGCATCTGCCTTGTGTAGTTAGTCCAGGATTGCCCTCTCCCCAGGAATTTGATGGCCAAAGCACACACAAATCCTTCAGGATAGACCTTTCGGTGGCACAGTCCCATGGCAAGCAGAAAAGCTGCCCCAGTACCCTCTACCCGTTGCCCACAAGACCAGCATTGCTGCCAGGGTTCTGCCTGTGGAGTTGACTCCCAGGGTAGGAGGCTCTGCTCCTTGCAGAATGGCTAAAAGTAAGTTCAGGCCTCAAAATCATGCAGAATGAGGCCTTCAAAACTTAGGTCCCTTCATAGAGAAAGACTTGGCTTTTCTAGGGAACACGGAAATCTATCTTTCAGAAGTTCCCTGGTGCTTCTCACCATTCAGAGACGTTGAGATGAGGCAACCCTCTGGGTTTGCTGACTGTTTGCAAAGGGACATGTGATGAACTTCCCCTGATGATCGGAGCTGAGCTCCCAGCAAAGCAGCAAGCCACTCGGTCCGTGTAGCAACGCTGAGAAGTCGCAGAGGGTTGGAAGCTGTGAACTGGCTGTGGGAAGGGCTGTTACAAGGACTGAAATGATCTAAGTTATTTTGGGGAAGGAAGGAAAGAAAAAGAGGAAACACTTCTACTTGCTCATCTCTTTTTGCTACTCCAGTCAGTGGCAAAGGCAGGCTCAAGAGTGTTCCTCCAAGATGACCTTCCCGAGGAATGCGCGCAAAGTGTGGCTGTGTGGTTCCTTGTTGGTAGCATGCGTTGTGAAAGAAACTTGTGGATAAAAGAGCACATTTCTGTTTCGTGTTTCCTGCCCTCATTTCCAAATACTGCAGAAAAGCCGCCTCCTCGACTCCAGGAGTTGGAGGAGGATCAGCTGCGTTTCACGCCTGCAGCGCAGCAGGAATCCACCGGGCGCTTTACAAGCAGCTTAGAGCTGAGCAGCCTTTGTGCTCCAGCCAGCAGGCTGGCCAGGCATTTATTTTATAAATCACTGCATTCCAGCCAGTCTGTATTTTTTCCCCCATCTGAGAGCATCCATCTCCCCCAAATCAAGGGGCTCCTCCAGGCTCATGTGCAGAAGCCCCCTGTGATCCCCCATGACTCCATCTATCCATCCCTTGAGGGATACAGCTCTGAATTATGACTTTGTTTCTTCCACTGGTGTCCTTGATCCAGGAACGCATTTAAACACTGGCGGCAGCTGGCTCCTGAAATAGTTTTTGAATAGTGGGATATGAGGGCATTCTCCTCCCGCTTTGGGTCTGGGCTATCTATTAATAACAAAATCTTCTGGGACGGCTTCCTCTCAAAAAGTGAATAAGAGCAGCTAAGCTAGAAAGCATCAGACCTCACCTAAGTGTAGTGAAAGTCCATGTGTCGTAGGAGAAGCCACGAGCAGCTCTGCAAACAGACCATTATTGCATATTTCCTGCCCCAGGGAATTTACCGCCTCCACTAGACAGGGTTGGGACGGGCTGAATTGGGCTATGCGATCGGACGAGGGAATTTGGCCACGATTTTTCCAGCTCAGCAGTTCTTTCCCATGTAAGGGCTGGGACCAGCTCCGTGCAGGAACACGCCTGACTCTCCCCTCTTAGCTGAGAGCTGCCTTTCTCCAGAGAGATACAAGATCTTCCAGCTAGGAGAATGTCGAAGCTAGATATGCTCATATTTTTAACAGTGTTCCTGGGAACAGTTCCCCCAGGGACTGTGAGGCGTTCTCTATCCCCTGGATAAATTTTACATCGAGACTGGGTGCTTTCCTCAAAGAGTTTCTCTGTTTGTAGTAATAATTCAAGACGAGAAACCAGTTTCTGGCTTGGAGGGGTGGGTCAGACTCGACAAGCACAATGCAGTCAAGTTTTACAGTGTATAAATGTGATTCTTTAAATGCAGAACTTGGCTGTAATTATACGGAGTCTACAGTCTCTCTGCTTGTCCGATATTTTGCCCAGATAAGTAATAAAGTGTTGCTGATAGCTATGCTGCAGCAGGGCTTACTTTGGTGACATGGAAGTTTTAAATGGCATGAGCCTGACGTCAGGTACCGCCTAGTTTGAATCACCGCTCCGCAACAGTCGATATGGATTATGCTTTGTTGTTTCACGCGCTCTCAGGCACAAGTTGTCTTTGTCACTGGGAAGATACGAAACAAGGGTATTGCTGACTTCTGTTCGGACCAGGGTAGGAAGGCTCTGCACTAGGTATGCCTAGAGAAAAGTATGAGGATGAAGGGGTCGTGCTAGAGCCCTTGCCTAGGAACATTTTCCAAGTGTTGCTCTTCTTGCAAGAGGGACAAGGAGGGAAGGCACATCAGCGGGCTGCTGAAGCATCTGGCTGGCAAGTAGGCTGCGAGCAGACGAATAAACCTTGTACTGATGTGCAAAGGCCCCAACTTTCCTTCCAGGATGAATTCCCAGTACCTTTAACTAACGTGTTTGCTTGATCTTCAGGGCAAGGAGAAGTTTCCAAGTGCAAGGTTGGTTTTTCTTAGAGCAGCCCATGATTTCTGGATAGAAACCCACGGCTTGGAAAGAATGTTCTGTGCATGCTTTATTTTTTAAATCTATCGTGTAACTGGTGAGGCTTGGCAAAGGCATATACGGTCATGAAATTTGTGTACAAGTGATGTGTTATCGTGGCTCAGCTAAGCCATGCTCACTTGTCTCCAACCAGGGTGATAAAGGTAGTATATAGAGTTGAGATTACCTCCTGGGAGAGTAAACTCCCTGCCTGAATGTGAAGTATGTGCAAGACGGGGAGCTAAATAGATCTCTAAGCTCTAGGGACAGGAGAAGGCCAGTGGGTCAGCCGGGAAGGGAAATAGGATTTCTAGCGAGTGATTTTTGCAGAAGCGGAAAAACAAATTACACTCTGAGCCTCCAGGACTTGGTTGTGAGCAGGTTACAGGGCCAGCACTAACTTCAGAGCTAACTTTATCAGCTTCTTGCAGCTGCCAACAGGTTAACCGAGAATGAGTCAAGCTGTCCTGATTTTTTGAGAAAGCAGCAACTACGTGATGTAATGCCGCGATGTAGCCGCACCCCAGCAGAAACAAACGACTCCAGATGAATCGGGCTGCCCTTGTCCCACGTGCCTCTGATGTTACCTGTGCCTGCCCGAGGTCTGGGCTTTGCCTCAGCACCCTTCGATTCTCCCTTCTTTCTGCCCCTTTGCCTGGTCTGATGGCTTATGAACCACTGCTGGTCCACACTGGGATCGATTGTCCCACTTTACAGAAGCAAGGAGCTAGCAGAGGCAGCTCTTCCTTTAGCAATCTGGAGAGGTGGCATGTCTGAAAGCCCTGAGCCAGGCAATCCTTATCAGCCTGTATTTGAAAGGCTGCAAGGACTGGGGCAGCTCTGAGTGGTCTAGCATCGATATCCAGCATCACAGCATTCACTTGAGCTGCTTGTAAGGAGGAAACCTCCGCGTTCCCCCTTTTGCTGGACTCAAGAGCATCTTTTATACCTGGAAACAAAGTCTCTTGCTGTCCAGAGTTTCAGAGGCAGGACCCAGAGACCTAGGAGGGGCTTGTCAGTGGCAGAGGCAGAAACAGAGTCCAGAGCCCTGATTTGTCTCTGTTATTCTGAAAGGCTTTGCAACAGCTAAACCACTGTGGAGGAACTACCTGAACCCTTTTGTATTGTTAACTCTAAAGGAGAAGGCTAGGCAGCCCGTGTGCGCAGCGAACAGGGAAGTTGGTAGTGCTGATTAGTCTCCGAAATGTGCACAAATCTCTGTGGGTGAAGTTCCCTCTGTGTGTTACTGCCTTCAGAGTCCTGTTAAAACCAATTGCTACACCCCAAAAGTAACTCGTGTCAAGATTTAGCAAGCTGAGAGTTACAAATGCTGTTTAAAGTGCCAGCTGTGAGTGTGCAGGCATCTCCAACTGCCTCCTCAGTGGGCTGTAGAAGGTTGTTTCAGCCATCCTGTCTCTTCTGTTTGCAGCTGCAGAGCTACTTTGCTGCCTGCGAAGATGAGACACCGGCCATCAGAAACCACGACAAGGTCCTGCAGCGGCTCTGTGAACATCTGGACCATGCTCTGCTCTATGGGTGAGCGCAGGCCAGCACATCTTGGGCCCACCGGATTTCTCTGTGGACTCTCAGATGCTTTTCACCATGCTTTGCCTGTAGACACGTCCGTAGCCTGTTGCTGGGGCCTGCCTCAGCATGGAGAAGCCATCTAAGGAATAATTGGGGTGGAGATAGATAAAGAATCCTTCGCTTAACCCTCTTCTGGGCCTCTTTTCTTCCAGGCTGCAAGATCTTTCCTCGGGCTACTGGGTGCTAGTTGTTCACTTCACCCGCCGGGAAGCTATCAAACAGATAGAAGTGCTTCAGCATGTGTCCACCAACCTGGGACGCAGTGAGTATTTGCAGACGCTGCCCTGGCTTTGCGGACAAACATCAATTTGGGGACATCCAGCAGGAGACCCAGGCAGGTTGTGCTGGCCACACGTTCAAGGTCTGGGGCTTCAGGCGGTCCTCTGGGGTTAGCAGGCAGCTCAGTGCTGGGTCTGGCTTGCCTTTTTCGGGCCAGGGAGACGAGTCCTGTAGTAACTACAGGATAGCGCTAAAAATACAGAGCCAAGGTGGAAGGTTATCCTTTTGAAGATTAAAACTCAACAATCCCGATTATCAGTTGCAAGCAAGGTGCCCCCAAGTCTGCGTTTGGGTGCTCAGATCTGCACCTAGAAACTCGGCGCTCGACTGGGTCCTAACAGCAGACCTCAAACACAACCTGAAGAAGTCCTGCTGGGCCTGTCTGCTCTGTATCTCAGCCACTTTGAGCTTTGCACCGTGTCTCAGAACCAGGTGCTGAGAAGTCAGAGACCTAGCCGTGCTTTTACTACTGTGAAACCGAAGCAATCAGCTGAGGAGTGCTTTTGGAAGGGGTTTCTGGCAGATGGGATGCAGGGGGACATCATCTATCTCACCCCAGAATGTCTTGCTGTAGCCATTGTCTGCCTGATGCTTCTTTTACCCTGCTATGAATTGCTGGTAGCGGATGCTTGGGACCACCGAGGCTGCTTTTGACACTGAACAATGCCCAGAGACCTCCTCCTCTCTGCCTGCTTATCCCAACATCCTTCAGCTCCCGAGTACTGGTGAGAGCAGAGCTGAGCACAGACTCCACCGTCACCTCTCTCTGCACCAGCCTTCATGTAATATCCCAAATTGCATCTGTGCTGATTTAGAGTGATTCTCCCTCTATCTTTCCTGCCTGCTGGTCCCCATTGAAAATACCCGCAGGCTCCCATTGCGCCGTAAGGACACACGCATGGGTCTGTTTTTTTCAACTGGCTGCCACACAGTCTCTTATCCTTATTCCCACGGCAGACCATGAATCTGCTCACTCCTTTCCCTCTGGTATTTTTCCCACAAATTTTCCCAGCTGTCAGTTGCTCCCTTCAAATGAATGCAAATGAACAATCTTATATTTTTTAATGGATCTGTGATTATTTCCAGGCTTGCCTCTCTTTTCAGGCATTTCCCTGCAGATAAATCTCTCCGCTGCTTTGTTTTTAGGCCGGGCATGGCTATACCTAGCCCTCAACGAAAACTCCTTGGAGAGCTATTTGAGGCTGTTTCAGGAGAATCTAAGCCTGCTGCACAAGTACTATGTCAAGTGAGTATCCCAGCTTATTCTCATTTGGGCTTGTGTTGGTATCCCTCCTTTTCAGAAGCAAGCCCTATTTTGCCAGTGGGGAACAAGCAGTTGATCAGGGTCTGATCTTTCCATGTGGGTTTTGCAGAGGTGCTGCATGGTCATTACAAGGGTCCCAGATGTGGAGGCACTGTCCTATAAGAGGGGCTGCAAGCATCTTTTCTATTTACTGCTTTTACTCCTAGCATCAGATGTATCCTTTATATTCTTCTGTGTTTTCCAAGAAGCTGCTGAGCTCTAGAGCTGTTTACACTGTGGCTCGGGGACACGCCACCAAGACTGAGAAAACAGAAGGGTGCTTGTAGCTGTTTCTTCTTTTTCCCGCTGCTCTAAAGCTCTTCTGTTTTCTCCATGTTGCAGGAACGCCCTGGTTTGCAGTCATGATCATCTGACCTTGTTCTTAACACTGGTGTCTGGGCTGGAGTTCATCCGCTTTGAGTTGGACCTGGTGAGGGGACAGTATTTTTTATCTAGCTGTCTTGGCCCTGGGATATCAGGTGTGCAGAGCAGGGCAGGTCCTGAGTGCCACAGATCTCACTGCTTAGTCCAAGACACCTTCTTGTCGGCCTTCCTCCCATTCAGCTGAAAACGTGAAGCTCTCGCTTATAAGAAAGGCTCTTCTATGAAGATCCAGCAATGGGATTTATTCCTATTGCTCAGTTACTTCTCAGTACTGGTCTGGCTCTGTCCAGGAGATGTGCAAGGCAGGCGTGGGGCAGCCAGATGTGCGGCAGGTTGATGGGGATAAAAGGGAGGTGAGCTCTGCAGGTGCAGTGCCAAGTGCTGGCATCCCTCCAGGCAAACAGCGGTGCACGCAAAGCCGCTGGCTAGCCCTCAGCGTCACAGTGCGAGAGGAGGGAGCTGCTGGGTTTCCTGTGAGAGGCAGCAGAAATGGGCAATCGGAGGGTGTTCAAGGGCAGTGCCGTCATTTGGGCTGAGCTGTGATAACAGCATGCAGTAACTCAGAGCCTGACTCACTCCGAGCCCTTTTCTCTGCAGGATGCTCCTTACCTGGATCTGGCGCCGTACATGCCAGATTACTACAAACCTCAGTACCTGCTGGACTTTGAGGACCGCCTGCCCAGCTCGGTCCACGGCTCAGACAGCCTGTCTCTCAACTCCTTCAATTCAGTCACCTCCACCAACCTGGAATGGGATGACAGCGCAATTGCTCCATCCAGCGAAGGTAAGCAGCCTCGGAGGGCAGAGGGGATTTTTGGAGAGGGGTGCAGTTAGAGCAGGAAAGTTAGCGCTGTGTGTTCCCACACCTCCACTGGCTGAGCTGTTGGCTGGATGAGAGGCTGAATGATGTAGCAAACGATGGGCCAGAAGGGACCAAAGAGAGACCCAGAGGTTTGGCTTTGAACCTCTTTCGTTGGGAGATGCGGCCAGCGGAAATGAGAGGGCAGTGCTGCGTTGTGATTTAAGCTGGAGACAGCCCCTTTACCTGAGACAGGGAGAGGAAGACTTCCTACGCCTATTACATCAGGCCACATTTCCATGTGGAGTGTGCGTTTTTGCAAGAACTGGTGAAATTTCCCCATGGAATGAAAGCTGGGCCCATATCTGAGCATGACCTCCATTTCAGCGCAGGTACACAGGGCTGCAGAGGACCTTTTTTAAGTGCTTGTTTTGCAGTCCAGAGGTCCATATATGCTGGAGATGATGGGGAATAGTTTCCAAAGTCTTTCCTCCGTGACTGCAATCTGAGGGAGAGGCAGCCAGTCCTCTCAGAGATGCTATTTTTAATCTTGATGTATCTTATCTTGAGCAGCCTGATAAGTTGTTGAACTTAACTCCTTATCCGTATCAGAGAGGGCTTGTCTGAGCTGGGCGTTGTTTCTGATGAACTGAGAAGAAACCTGCCTTCTCTCTGCCCCCTTACCCTGCTCCAGGCTGAAGCAGGAAGCTCTTATGCTGCATGAAGCATGCTTCACATGAAGAAACAGTTCTGCTGCTGCTGTTCTTAATCCAGAAAACATTCGGCTGGTTTCTTTTTGGAGTCAGCTGAAATGAAGCAAGATTAGGGGGCTCTGGAGTAGATGTGGTGTTGTGTTAATTGGATGCAATGAATTCAGGACTGTATACGCATATGGACAAATCCCCCCTGCCGAGACAAGGGTCTGCCCAACCTGGAAGGAGCAGGCTGCCTTTCATCACCAGTATTTGCCGGTCATCTATTCTTTGCAAGATAGAAACTGTGATCCTTAAAGACGTTGAGAAGGAACAGCCAGGGAAGAAAGACGCAGAAGCAGGGGTGGGCATTAGCACCTTTATAGCATATTTTAGCTGTGACACACAGCACTGCTTTGGGCTCATCCGTAGTGCCTGTACTCATGCTGCAAGCGTGAAATGGTTCAGAGCCATTTGCTGTCAGTGAAGCATCGTGGTTTGCCGAGGTGCACAGAACAGCAGCCTCCCGCTGACATATTGCACCATGGTGTTTTTTTTAATGTGCCAAAGTCCTGTGTGTTCTCTCCCCCTCCCAGCCAACCCCCAAATCCCTTGGCATGACCAGCCTGTCAGCAGCATCTTAGGTAAGTTGGAGACAGCAAAAGGAGCCCAGCAGTAAAGGTCGGGGGAGGAAGCTCCTCTGTCCCCAGAGGCTTGGCAAAAGCAGCTGTTTCACTGCATGCTGCACCCCCTTGGCTTGTTTTCCTGTTCCTCCATCAGCAGAACATGTCCCAGTGCCAGCACATCTCCTACCTGTCTGAATTGATTGAGCAAGGGGTGTCACTTGGTTTGGGCTACGCTCTCCAATCCATCTGGAGGACAGAAGTCTGATGCTCAAGAAAAGAAGAAGGGTTTGGAGCGGGGATCCAAGGGATTTTGGAGCTAGATTCCATTTTTGGCATTGTCATTGGTTGTTCCCTGTGTCTGGGCAGCAGTTGTGATCAGTGTCTGTTTCCTCATGTGTAGAGGGGTCAGTTGCGAGACCAGGGAGGCAGCCGTGTCAGATCCCCGAAGGAAAGGCATTGCTGCCATTCTCCCTGTTTGCCTCAGCAGGGTCTCTGCAGCCTTCCCCTGCCCTTCAACTTCATTAACTATTTCACTGCTCCTCATTTTAACAGGAGTGTCTTGCTACCCTGGGAATGTAGGTGGAGTTTGGGATTTTAAGCTCAGAGGACAAGTTTTTCCCCTTAATCAGACCCCTGGCTTTACAAACATTAATGAGTCAAACATCACAGTATCTGTGGGAGGTAAGTGTGAAGTGGGGAAACTGAGGCATGGAGAGCTGAAATTGCTTCCCAAAGGGGTTCTCTGATTAGATCAATGGTGGGGTTGGATACGCAGGCACTGGATGACACCGTTTTAGCTTTCCAGCAACTCACATAATGGGGCTTCATCCTTCACTGGTCCCGTCGTAGCTCCCACAATGCAAGCATCCAACAGTAACAACCGTCGTGCAGCTGGTTCCCGTTTGCATCCATGTTCCCTAACTATTTTCTCACGCGTTTCAGAAACCAATGGAAGATTGTTTCATTTCTCTCCCCTCCTGTCTCCCTCCCCAAACTCCCATCACATGCTCCCCTGGTCCCCATCCCTCCCTACTGCTTGTATTTCTAATTCTGAGTTTTATCCCTCATTTTTGTAGATTATGATTTTGGAGATGTCTTTCCAGCAATGCAGTCCATGCCCAGCAGAGACTGGGAAGGTGGGACATACTCATGTGTTACAACCTTTTGGTTTTCTCTCTGCATTGCTGCCATCCTGAAGCTTGCTGCATGCTCCCCAGTTCATTTCTTAACCAGCAAATACCACATCTTGATGGAATTCAGTAGAGGCAGAAAAGAGCCAAAAAGATCCCCCTAATGGGGAGCTTGTGCATCTCATCTCCAGTGAGACTACACACGACATTTTCCCTGACTCCTGGCATATGCGGACATACTCCTCTGGCCATACATCCCGGAGCAGAGGGACTACTCTCCTGCCTCTGGCGAAGCCTCTGAATCTTCTGGAAGTGTCTTCTCT